AAAAAAAAAAAAAAACTTGGATGTCTGACGAAAAAGAGGAGACATGTGTGCACGTTTTCGTGAAGGTGTATAAATGAACATCGAGGTTTTTCATCGAGGAAGCAAAGATTAAAAGATACGTTTTACATAAAAAATAAAAAATTCAATGTGTTGAGGTAAAACACATGATGTGTTGTTATTCAATATCAGGATGAATGGGTCGCTGCGTCGTTTTCCACCATCGCGAACAGGTGCAATTCATTAACCGCACCTGCGCCAAAAATAGAACATTGGTATAGACACACCGCTGACTGCTAATAAATATACCCGCGAAGCTTTTTGCGCTTGACCCTGAGATGCCGGTGCAACCTTGCGAACGTCGCAGTTGTTGGCAACCTTTATCGCGACTCTCCCTTGTTTTGATATATATATATATATTTTTTTTTTTCTCGCAAACAAGTTTATCTACCGTGAGGCGGTGTTTTTACAAAAAAATACCCCCGATTATTTCAAAGATAATATTCTCGCGATGCTATTGTATCGTTAATCTGTATACTTATCTACTTGACGCGATGGTATAACTGGAGTATTTTGAGCGAGTAAAAAGCCACATTTTTTAAAATGCTTATCATTACTTATCTTTATACTGAACTTCGCTACTTTGCCAACCCGAATGTAAGTTGTCACTTTTGCGAGATCAATGAACGTTCGTTCAAGCGTTTCTATGAAAAATATGCATTTTCCCAAGCTTTTATTCGCTAAACATGGAAAAATCTTACATTTTTTTGTCGATGAGCTTTCAACCGAACGGCAGCCAACGTGGAACCGAGTGTCTTGTGTATTTTTTAATCTACAGACTTTGTTATTTCATAAAAAACTTCTCGTCGGTTGTCACGAGCAGCTGTACAGTCTTTGGCAAACTACTGTATGGCGGATGTAGCTATAACTCCTTTTGTCACGAGCTGGCAAGCAATCCGATAAAAAATTGCTGATGATAGTGCGAATCTTTGTGCACTGCCATCTAGAAAATAAAGACGAAAATTTCTTAACGTCGCATTTATCGAGGTTCAGTACCTATAATTGTGTGTTGCGCAAGTGTTTTACTGGCAGCTGGATGCGTAGGCAAAAGCGTTACCTTCAAAGTTTCATTCCATTTTTTTATAAAAGACAATCTTTTACAGATTTTTATCACCTTAAAAAATCATTTACCAGATTTGCGTATGCAGTGAATATCGTGATATTCATTAAAAGATCGACAACTCACTCTTCAAATTTACTTTTCGATTTTTAAAAAATGCCGATGATTTTTTTCATTTTTAGAAATATAAGTGTTCTGTAAAGTACAGACGTTTGCACCTATACATTGCATTTTATTGCATTTTCAAGTCAAAACCAATGTTATTGTTTACAATTTTTTTTTTGTTTTTTTTTTGTTTAAGTACTTGGTTGAAAAGTAAAAAAACCGCAACATCTGTACAACTAATAAAGTCATCATCGAATATTCGCTTATCTATGTATGTCAGAATTAAAAAATAGATTTATAATAGTTTAACGTTCATTTGATTGAAGCAATTAAGTTTCACCTTGACTACTTCTTTGAATCACAACAAAATAATCCAATTTATCATAATGATTATATTTCTCACGAAAATTAATTATAAACACTATGTGATGATTCTACGAGGTAAATGATGTATAATGTTGTATGCTTTCTTTGTAAAATCATTGTATCTCTAAATTACTCTAATTGGAAATATTATAAAATTCGCATAATAATGATTCATATACTTTTCATTACAAAGAAAGTTACAAGAAATAAGATATTAGCGATAATCAAACAAGGAAAGTTAACTACGTTAGTAGTTTGTGTATCATCCGAATATTAAATCGTCAACTCTCATGCAAAACTCCCGTACATACCTCAAAATGTTGTCATTACCAATGACGTAAGTCCTTTTGCGAATCATATACAAAAATTCGTCCCAAGCGAGTATCACTTCGATCGTAAGCTTAATTATACTCGCTGCTTCCCTCACGTACAATTTCATTAAAAGTCGTTTTATTTACGAAAAGTCAACCCGCGGTAAACGCTTGCCTATTACTTACATAAATACGTAACTCACGCGCCACACCGTCTGTCGCATGTATATAGCGGGAAACAAATAGCTGCCATCAGCCACAACTATTGCGGGGAGAAGGAGGAAATCGCGTGAACTTGTAATGTACCCAATATTTCTGGAACTGCTATTAAACGTACAACCAAAGGGCCGTGCGGCTGTACGGGTTTGAAGAAAGGTATAAGTGGAACACTTTTTTTTTTTAAACGAAACAGAAAAAAAACGTATATTTTTAAAATTTATTTGAAGCGCGTGAATTTCAAGTCTGTAGGCAAATGGAAAATCAACTAGAGTACCTTTCCCAGCACTGTCTCGGATCTCCCCTGTCCATACCAGTAAGCGGTGTCGATGTAATTTATGCCCTTTTTCAACGCTTTCCTTATCGTCTGTATGGCCTCCTCTTCGTCGTAATCCCTAAAAAAAAAAAAAAGATTTCTTACAAAACCTCATTTTAACCAATGGATACCGGTAGGTATCCCAGTAGGTATTATTCACCCGAAATGACAGCCCAATGTTCCACCCCCGAGGGACAGTTTACTGACTCGCAATCCTGTTTTGCCCAAAGTCCTGTACTCCATACATTTCACCGCCTCGAGATCGTGAAATCCTTCCACGTAAGTTGGCGGCAGGTCTTTCCTGCAACGATCGTCGATCGAAAAATTGTTAGTTACATTCACCTCACATTGGTCTTGTGATTGGCGTATACTGTTAAAAAAAAAAAAAAAACTTGGATGTCTGACGAAAAAGAGGAGACATGTGTGCACGTTTTCGTGAAGGTGTATAAATGAACATCGAGGTTTTTCATCGAGGAAGCAAAGATTAAAAGATACGTTTTACATAAAAAATAAAAAATTCAATGTGTTGAGGTAAAACACATGATGTGTTGTTATTCAATATCAGGATGAATGGGTCGCTGCGTCGTTTTCCACCATCGCGAACAGGTGCAATTCATTAACCGCACCTGCGCCAAAAATAGAACATTGGTATAGACACACCGCTGACTGCTAATAAATATACCCGCGAAGCTTTTTGCGCTTGACCCTGAGATGCCGGTGCAACCTTGCGAACGTCGCAGTTGTTGGCAACCTTTATCGCGACTCTCCCTTGTTTTGATATATATATATATATTTTTTTTTT